TTTTTTTTTAACAGTCAATTCATATTCCAAGAAAACAAGATCGAGGCCGGGGACCTCACAATTCAACCCGGGGTTATCCCGGCAGCATCAGCCGGCTTAGCTTACAGTCCTAAGGGCATACTCACACGGGGACCTATAATCCCAAAATCCCAAAAAAAAGGGGAAAAGGCCGGTCACACGGATCTACCAAATTCGCAAATGTACTATTCCTGTGCCCATTTGTCAGCGGCTTCCCATTTGTCAGCGGCCTGGGAAGCCGCGGGGCAAGGGATTTTGCGGTCACCTCTGGAGGTGACCGACCGCGAATGCCCTTTTTTTCTTTTGCATTTTTCTTCAAAAATTAGCAAAACTTCGTTCACAAAAGTTCTTGCACAATTTGTGGATGGAGCGGTGTGGCCAGCCAAGCACCAAATCCCCATTTCTCCAGACGGCCGCGACCTTGTCCCATCTCAAAAGGTACAGCAGTGTGACGTGAACCATGCCCAAAACCTCAAATCGGCCCTTCCCAAATCCGCATATTTTGCGGATTTGGGGTCGCCGTGGGAGTATGCCCTCGGAATATTATAAACTATCCACCTACTGTAGTTTCTGCTGAGCTAGGAGGAGGGGATCAGAACCCCATAGAGAGCAAACAGGTAAAGGGTATTCAACTGCCGCATAAACCCGCCATGTATCCATATCAAATATCAACTGTCTTTCTACCTTTTCAGCGGCCTAATTTCGGCCTTGCAGTTTTTTTTTTTTTTTTTGGTGGTCCTATGGACCACGGATCAGATCGGAACAGATACTACACTTGATCTTAGCCAAAAGGCCTTGCCAATCTGGAAATTATAATTTCCCTTCAGGGGTTGGAAAGGTAGGCATTTCACCCTTCATCCCAGGGATGAAGGCTAAGTACCCAAAAAAAAAAAAAAAAAAAAAAAAAAAGCGAAGTACCAGGGGCCACCTCCCTCTAGCAGCGTTGAGTTTTCTCAACGCGCGAATCTGGACGTGTTTGAGGAGAGGTGCAGTTGAGGAAACTCAACGCGATTTTCTGCACCTCTCCACAAACACGTCCAGATCCGGGCGTCGAGGAAGCACATCCAGGATTCCGGCGTTGAGGAAACTCACTCAACGCTGCTACCTACCGTAGTGGGACTTGGCTCAACGCTGCTACCTACCGTAGTGGGACTTGGGCCCAGGACGTTCGAAGGGCGTGCGGACGGCGGGATGTAGGCGAGAGGTGGGCATCCCAGGCGTCAGTAGCAGGGCGCGACCAAAAACGCTCTAGGGGACAAAGCAGCCTTTCATGGCTATAGGTGGGTAGGTGCGGTGCACCTATGATCGCCGCTGCTGCCGACGGCATCTAAAGGGAATCTGTATCAGATTCCAGATCGCATTCACAATGAATCCAGTGGCTGACACGTGGAGGAGGCAGGTGGCCGACACGTGGACACGGCGACTTCGTAGCCGGTTGCAGCGGTACTCGTTCTCCTCGGCGATCTTCTACCCCTCCTCCTCCTACTCTCCCTCCTCCTCCTCTGCCTCTTCTGCCTCCTCTTTCTCCTCTTTCTCCTCCTCCTCCTCCTCCTCCTCCTCCTCCTCCTCGTCAGGGGTACTGGACTTTACTTCTCCGCTGATTAGAAGGGTAATCATTCTTGTTGTAATCGCTCTGGCCGTTGATCTGGTCGCTTGCAGCAGCGATCGAGTCTCAGAGGTTAATCTGCATGAGAGTGGACGGTCAGAGATTGGCAAACGATTGGATCGGACGGCGGGACGGGGTCTGTTATTAAGAGTGAATGGTACGTACCTGGAGGAGCTGAGCGAACGTAAGAATCAGAGAATCGTGGGAGGAGATATAGCCGATGCGGCCAACTTTCCTTATCAGGCGTTGGTTACGATCGTGAAAGACCAAGCCGAGTATTACTGCGGGGGAACTCTCATCGATACGCAATATGTTCTTACTGCAGGTAAATATTAATTTCTTCCTTTCTCCTCATCGTCTGCATTGTCCCATGTTCACCTTGCCCTGCCGGCACACACACACAGAGACAAACACACACACACACTCACAGAGACAAACACACACACACACACAGAGACAAACACACACACACACACACACACACACACACACACACACACACACACACACACACACACAGAGAGAGAGAGAGAGAGAGAGAGAGAGAGAGA